CAGCAATGTCTCTTACCAGAAATCATTCCCCAGTTACTCAAGATAATCCACAGGCCCTGTTGTGAGTGGTTTCATGTATGAACTATTTTCTTTCTACCAAGCTACATCTGCCAACTGTATCATTGCACAAAAGGAAGAGGGCATCTACTCATAGATGAGAGGCTCGGCTCATGCTTGTGACAGCATGAGATGTAAACATTAATGGCATCCTCCTCAGCTCAGCTGTAATGTTAGCAAGGTCAGTGGTGCTAGTTAAGCTAGCAGTAGATGCACACTTCCTTCTGCACAGTGATACAGTTGGTGGGTGTAGTTTGGTAGAAAGAAAATAGTTCCTACATGAAACTGTTCACAACAAGGTCTGTGGATTATCATGAGTAACTGGGTCATGACTTTGGGAGAGAGACATTGCTGTTGAGTTTTTCAATTTTATTTATTTATTTGTTTTTTATCATGGAGCACCACAGGGCGAGTGCCATCTAGTTCCAGAGAAGGCAGACATCTCTATGGCCGATGTCTCCAACACTCAGCATCTCACACTAAAACAATCCAGACTGATAAATAGCACTACAGGTAGGAGGGAAAATATTTATTTTTTTGATTTTGGGGTGAACTGTCCCTTTACGAAATAATTTGTCAACATGTGTTTCTCCAAATAACAGCATACTAAGACTAACTTGATGTATTTTCAGGTACATAATTGTTATATTTAATCCTCTATTGGCATCAAATGTGAAAGACAGAAAAAATGACAGAGAACTTACATATCCTACATCTTCTGCTTCCATCTCCTCTCCAGACTCTGTGCTGCAGCCTCCAGGAAAACACTCAGACTCACGCTTCTCTCTTATCTTTTGAAGGAAGTCCATTGCTGTTGATTTTCTCAGCAGTGCTGTCTCATAAACAGGTTACACACATGCATTAATTTCCCAGATAATAACCAAGAGATCGTTTTCTTTCTTGAACTATCAGTCATGCTGCATCATTAAAACATCTCACCTCCCTGGCAGACGTAGGGGATCATGAGCATCACAGTCAGCAGTGTTGCAGCCATGTCGTCATGCAGACTCTTCATCTCTCACACACTTGAGTGTTGAGCCCCCTTGCAGCTCCTGGCACTTTGTGACTGTCACCAGAGAAGTCCCCACGCCCACCACCCTCCCAGCTTCATTCAGGCATAGGATGGATTTGTACTGAGCAGTGGGGAGGGAACAAATGTGTGAGTATGTGTTGAACATATTATAACTATCTGTACTGTGTTTTGAAGACCTTGTGAGAGATAAGACAAGTGTTTGTGTGATGGTTTGTGTATGAAGAGTGCAAAGTCCTAAGAATAGATTTTGGCCTCTGAAGAATTTTTAAAATTTTGAAGGTCAGTTTATAATATAGAGACTTTGTATTTGCTGTGGTGAGTAGAATGATGACCTCAGATTCACTTTTACTCACTGATAGGGCATCCAGACCTAAGGTAACAGAGCTTTAAACAGTGAAATAATTTTCAAATCAGACGACCCTCAGGTGAAATCTCTACTCAGTACTTGTATTAAATGTCCTGCAAATCATGCTTTCTATGTGATAGATCAATTAAGAGAAGCAGAAATTATTTTAAAAAGGACTGGCAGCAATGTAGGCTATTTTACAATAATAATAGGCTCTGTGCACAGAGCCCATTGAGACCAACTGCACCGTGACACTCAAGTCATGGAGGCCTTGTTTCTTGACCATGCTGCCATCTACAGGTGTAAATTAAATGTACTCAGACTACATGGGAGCCATTTTTACAGTGCACTCAGCACAGTGCAAGCACCCATATGACTCGCACTGTGTTGGATCATGGCATTTGCTAAAAAACACTCATGATAAAAGTTCAGTTCCTATTCAGCTTAGTGATTCAAGTTATATAACTAAATCAAGTATTTATGTCTCACACTAGAAAGATTTATTAAAACACTTGTTACCTGGCATTAAGACATGATGAGAATTTTGTCCTGATAAACAAGTCTATATGTCAGTGTACATCACTGGTTCCTAACCCTGCAGAGCTCAACCTATCTTGGACTGATTTCCAGCTGAGCCAACAGCTACAGTACAGAACATTTTTATATGACCTTTTGACAGAGCCCTGTTTACGTGTAACATTTTTTCCATACTTTATTTTAACTGGATGTTAATGTGTTACATGATCAGTAGAGTGTCCTGGATGCTCTGCAACAATGTAAGAAAAGAGCATCGAGCCAGCCAGGAGTCGAACCTAGAATCTTCTGATCCGTAGTCAGACGCGTTATCCATTGCGCCACTGGCCCTGCGGAGATCTAAAGTAGAGTATGCCCTGAGTAATGACTGTCAGGATGACGGCCTACAAATTGGAGACAGGCTTTAGTCCTGTCTCTTAACGAAAATACTGGAATCACATTATGACTCACCCAAGACAAAAAATGAGTTAAGTATGAATGTACAAATAACTAATAATAAATCATAAACATTTGCATACATGCATTAAAAAAATAATAAATAATGGAGAAGTTATTAAACAGGACCTAACATTTATTTTTTTGCATATTTTTACATTTTGTACAACTACATTTGTTTATTTCTTTGTCTTGCAATTATCTATTTACGCATTTCTTTATTCTTTTTTATTTGTTTCTGAATTCCTGTATTTATTTATGTATTTATTATAGGCCTACTTCTGTCATTTTTCGTCCTTCATATATCTGTCCCTCCTGAGGATGTGACCTCTGTGACACAGTGTACACACACTGAGTGACAGTTAAATATTCAACAGCAGCTAACAAGGTTGCAACTGTGTCTCATATTGTACAAATAACACTAATTTTAGTCCCATCGGTTTAGTGGTAGTTTTTTGATTATTTGGTCAACTATCAACCAGCAAGGAAACATTTCCACCCAAAAGGCAGAGTACATCCTTACATATTCTCTTCTAATTAATGTAGGCCCCTACTGTATGTGCTGTTGATTTCAAGTTACATAGCCTATAGCACCCTGAAAAATTATTTTATAGAAAATAGCCACTTCATAGATATGACAAGGCCGATGTATGCTAGTTTATAAGGCATCGACTCTAACTACATGTTGTGGTACGATTTTTAACTGCTTGTGTTTATTCAAGTTGTACATCTACTGATTAAAAGCCGAGCCAGCCAGGAGTCGAACCTAGAATCTTCTGATCCGTAGTCAGACGCGTTATCCATTGCGCCACTGGCCCGATGATGAAATAAAGATTCATGCCCCGAGTACTGACTCGCAGGAACCCTTCCTTTGCGATGCGGTGTCTGCCTTTGCTCTCAGCTGTAGGAGACTCACATTGGTGGTCTTCAGAGTACAGATGTCTTTCTCCATCACATTCTTCTCCTGTTTTCTTATGGGCCTATTGGAATACCTAAATTATTCTAAGTATTACTTGTTGTGTAAAATAGGCTAGTGTAATATAAGAGTAAACTACAATATATATATACACACAGAAAATACCACAGATGCAAGAGGTTATTACCTCATTTGGTTTAAGTATTCATGAACTCAGCAACTAGTAATGGTTGCTCTGCTCCCACACTTGTAGCTGACTCCATTAACGTGCTTGGGTCCCCTGAACTCACACACATCTCACACACATGATTTTGGTCAGGCCATTTCACTGGGCTTCTCTTTCCTGCAAAGCACCTGCAAAGGAATTGAGTAGCATTGGTGTTAGTACAAGAAATGATATAACATGCAGCTTTGTCAAGCTTGCCCAACAAAACTCAAGCACAGTTTGTGCTCTGAAATGGAGTGTGTGTCTAATATTTCTAATTCAAATGAGAATGTGCAACATTTGGTTGCCATTTGTCTGTAATACAGTTAAACGTCCTGCATGTAAGATATAGAGGGATTTAGTGCTACTAGCACCTTTGCAACCAGCTGAAGCTTCAGTGTTAGGGAGCCAAATTGTGTGCAGAGGTCTCATCCTCTCTCAAACAATGGGCACAGTGATTAACTGGTAATAAAACTGAATAAAGCAGTTACATGTTACAAAGCAGTGTTTTTCCTATGCTGTTTGGAACATTACAGACTGCCTGCTAGGATGAGAGGGGTCACATGCCTAGGATAGCTCCAATCCATATTACTGTATTGTACAAGATGCAAACAGCCTTAGCGAGACACTGGAACAACATCATGACTAATCTGAAGGATGATGTTATGCGAATTTTATTGCAATTGTTCATGGTTTAGGTGAACTGATTAAAAGCCGAGCCAGCCAGGAGTCGAACCTAGAATCTTCTGATCCGTAGTCAGACGCGTTATCCATTGCGCCACTGGCCCGATGGAAAAAGCAAACGTTTTACCCCAAATTCTGACTCACAGGACCACTTCCCTTGTGATGTGATGTTATTTCTCACTGCAACCGAAATCAACCGAAGCTGCTGTTAGATACAGCGTCTGCCTGTGCTCTCAACTGTAGGAGACTCTACGGACTCACAATGGTGGTCATGTATTTAGGCCTGCTGTGGCTAATTAGGGATCCAAATCAAGAGTTAAAAACTTGGAGTTGGCAAACTGTGGACTGTGTCATTTCCATTGTGTATATTGCAGTGCCATTTTTGGTAACTCTACCTATTATGATTGGTCAAATAGTGATTGGTTTTCACAGCTCTTGGTTGTGGGACTGCATCTGACTGGTCAGATCTTGGTAGAATATTTGGTAGTGGGGCCAGAGATGCCACTGGCTTTGTCTTATTGTCTTGCTGGCTGTCTGGCCCTACCATACCTGGGCACCAGCTGAACATAATAGCACAGCAGGCCTGCGCATTTTCCACATATTTCCTTTAGAGCCTGGACCGGAAACGTTTAGGTAGAAGCTATTAACAGTGAAATAGCCAGGAAAAAAATAAATCTCCAGAGTAAACTCCACTGTGTGTCCACATTGTCACTAGAGGGTGCCAGTCTTTCACTGTTTGCTGCAGAGACTTCAGGACGGTTCTTTGTTGCATTTAATGCCACCTAATTTCACTAATTTGAAGGTGGAGGATTTGTTGTAAATTTTCAGAAAGTTTTACTTTGGAAACTTGAATGCATACTCTTTATCTGCTCCCTCTGATCTCATTTCAAAGGTGAGAGGCACATTTTTTTGCAGGGGATGCTGCTGGTGTGAATGGGCTGATCCAGTGATCGCAGGTATAGTGGCTGGAGGAGGGAGCAAGGGCCGCACAGAGCGGAGAAGTTCCCAGCTGCCCGGGACTGTTTTGTTGTGTAAAACCTTTGTTTAAATTGTGAATCAGCACTGGCGGAAGTATGTGTATGGAGTGAAAGCCCTGCAGTTTTTTCTTTTCGTGATTTCATCCATCAGCAGCATCGTGCGCGTCGGTGCGCCTGCCTGACCCACAGTCGCCTCATCTCTGTCGGATCATGTGGATTATTTTGGCGTTTATTCTGACAGCGACGGGTGCTGATGGGAGCTGGGGATGTCAGCTGCCCCACGACTGGAGACCGCAGACAGAAGCGTGCCGTGCCGAGCTGGCGCAGATCATAGTCTATGCCAAGGTGTTGGCGCTGCACAAGGAGTCTTACAATGTGTACAACTACCTACCGTCCGACAGCGACCTGCTTTTCTCCGCCGAGATTGAGCTGCTGTGTGACCAGGCGTGGGGCAGCATGCTGGAGGTCCCTGCTGGCTCCAGGTTCAATGTCACCGGCCTGGGCTACTTCACCTGCTTCTCCTACAGTGTCCTCAAAAACAACAATTACTACTTCTTTCTAAGGTGAGAAACACAGATGTGCCCTCAATGTATGTGTTGTCACAGATGCATTAAATTTTACTGGCCCCTAACAAAATGAATGGAGAGACTTTAAGCATTAGTCAATAGAGTTATGTCTTAAAAACAACATTTGCATGATTAATTTCCAATAAAAGAAACGCCTGCATCAGCTAAACTTTGTCCCATAGACCTATGCCCTGTTATAAATGTAGCCTACTTTCACCCTATCAGGGTTTCAGCTCAAGAATATAAATATTATTGTGTTAAAAGCTGCACTATGAGCTGCCTAGGCCAAACTAGAATACTTAACTTGCACATACATATATATTGGACTAAACACTTACATTTATGCTCTCATGCATGCATGTTCATCTGAGTGTCTACATCAACATACCACACACATACAAGCATACTTACACAAACACACACACACACACACACACACACACACACACATGTTCTCCTCTATGCATGCATAAATGTATGTCGTGCATGCCTGTGTGTATGAGAGCATGAATGTGCAAGTAGTATCAGTGAATATGTATGTGCAAGTCAATTATTCAGTTTTGGCTGAGGCAGCTCGTCCTTCTGCACAGTGTGTTGAAGTTTTAAAGGTTTGTCTCTGTGAGTGTTGCCCAGAGAGGATATGACATGGATGACCCACTTGCAGCCCTTTTTTTCTCTCCAAATTTTTGTGTCTTTTCTGTTTAAGAGAAAAGATGAAACTTGGAAAACGCTGCAGAAGTGTCTCTGGGTGCTTGAGGGACATTGCTCGGTGCCTTCTTTTGACTGGAGTGCTTGATGGCAATTTTTTTTTCTGGGGGTGGGGGGACAATTTTTTCAATGGTTTACATTCATTATGGAGGGGACATTACATATAAAAATGAAATAACAAAATATTGCATTGAGACACATCTACGTCTAGGCACTAAGGTGATCCTGTGCATTATGAAATGTACATAAATTCACTTTGTGACATGGGATAACACACTAAAAGACAATTATTTAACACTAACCAACTGTAAAAAGAAACTACATATTATATTTCACTCTCTATGAATGTGGGAAACAATGTATGGTAATCTTAGGATATAATGTTAAGGTGTTTGTGGCTAAGCTGCATCATCAGTCCCTCCAGCACACTTAAGATGTCCGATGAGGATAGTTGATTCACCTTATGCATCCAATCATATTCATCTTTATTCTTTTTTTTTTTTTTTTTTTTAAATTTTATTACAAGATTTTCTGGGCATTGTTGCTGTCATTCAATAATGAAGAATTGAAAGGAGACAGAAGAGGGGGATGGGGAGGGAGAGAGGGGGGGCACTGAATTGAACAGAGGATGTGTCCACTAGTCCACCTCAGTAATGCTTTTCCTCTGAGTATGATATAAGATCCATGGATTGAACCTCACCTCCTCCTGGCCCGTCTCTTCAATGAAAACCAGCAACTTCTCAGATCTGTGCAGAGATCTGTCACGTAAGGACTCTCACAGGATTCAGTCCATTGTCGGCCAGTAAGGAAACATTGAGCAGTCAAAAGCAGAGGATTGGCACCATCCTCACATATTCTCTTTTAATCAGCATCTGCCCATGTGATACCATATTGATTTCAGGTTAATAATATATTTAGTAACCTGCCAAACATTCCACTCAGGTTTAAAAGAGTATGTGGCAGGTTAATTCTTAAATGTCTGTGTTGGATAGAAACAACACTGTTACTCAGGAAACGTCTATTGCATTCCAGCCAGTGTAATTACAGAGCCAGACATTTCCCAACAGCTTGAAGGTAAACTTGGTCGGTATAGGACCACCTTTTGTCCTGCTCAAACACACCAGTTTGCCGCTTGATGAAGGGAACGTGTGCTGACAGGCCTTTACTGATATTTCTCTCATACTCTGCTTTTTCTCTCAAACAGATGAAGAGTTAGATATTCAGAGGGGGGCATTGAAAAGCATTCCTGAAGTTTAATGTCTGGCCGCCCCTCATGAGGGTCTGCAGCACGCAGGGCCAACAACAATAGTATTCTTTATAGCATATGTTACACATCATTATGCACGGAATCGCGCTCACATTGTGTGATGGTGTATTGCTGGGTCTTTTAAGATGACTTCACTGGCTTTAGTTAATTACACCCCCAAGGACGACTTTGCTGTCCCCTGTTGTGATGGTGAAAACATCCGGACGTGATCCCCATAATCAGCCAGGCGACCACCATGGGAAACTTTCTGAAGCCATAGACCAGTCACAACAGAGTTGCAGATGATAGACCTGATGATGATAAAGAAGCAATAACTGCTTCAGTAAACCAAAGCAGTGATCTTCTTTCAGTGTGTACTAAGGATTTGATGGAAAGAGCAACTCCCTAAAAACACTCAGCCACATTTTCCTTCAGCACACAAAGCAAGTAGATTTATGGGAGACAAAATGTACAGTAATGTTTGTGTCCATCTTGTTGCTTTTACACTTAAGTTTTTGTACTATTTAAACACATGTGACACAAGGCGCTAGTTAGTGAGCATCGGTGCTGGTAGGCGGATTTCGTTACCTTTGGGCAGAGTGAGACTAGCTGTTTCCAGTCTTTATGCTAAGCTAAGCTAACTGTCTCTTTGTTTTAACTTTATATTTGCCGTACAGATATGGGAGAGGCATCGATCTTCTCTTCCAAAGGACTTAACACACCAGGGGCGTGAGAAATAAAAGACATGAAAATGTGAAATACGCAGCTGTGAATAATTTGCATGTAAACTATCCAGGGTCACAGATGTGCCAAATTAACATAGGCGAATATTTCTCTCCTGTTCACTTCCATTCAATGCAAGCTTAAGGAGTTCACGTTTGCTGAACTTTGACTGGCAAAGTCGCAGACTCAACCAATAGCAAAGAAGTACATGTAGAGGAGACAGTCATTGTTGCCTTTTCTAACCAGCCAGTATTGTATGAAATTAGCCATGAAAAATACAAACTGCCCCACATGAGAGATGCAGCCTGGCTGGCAGTGAGTTGGGAGACAAGCATGAAATGTAAGAAAATCAAATTTGTACTGTAAACATCATATTTCGCAGCATTTATTAGCAGGCTAGCTAACATTAGCTGGTAAGTTAGTGTTGCATGTGCATCACACCCAGCACTGCCGGCATTTAACACTAATATCACCTTGACAGTCGATGGTCACTTGTCTGTATTCGCCCATGTGTAACTGAGGCCCTCATACAGTAGCCATGCGAATTCACAACAGTTGCAATAGTTCTGGTGGTGTTGTGACGTCACTGCCAGAGCTATTGCTATTGTACTGTTCTCATTCTGTGTGAAAGTATTCCTAAAAAACAACAGTTCACAAAAATATATTGATGTGCAAATTAAAGGCAGAAAAAAATGACCCCAGTGTGTAAAGCCCTTGAGTCTCAGAAAAAATCTAATAAGAGTATTTCCCAACATGTTGGAACTATTCCTTCAGTTTTTCATTGAGGCACTAATTGTACCTCAAAGAGATGTATCACTATTGAGATTAAATGTTGGTTTTCATGAAAAGTGAATGAAATGTAATATGGCTGAACAAATCATCTTTGCATGTCCCACTCTTTGACATCCTAACGTGAGACTCCCTCTCATAAACCTAAAACAGATCAGTGTAGAGTTTCAAAGGAGTGTTGTTGTGGCAGCTCTGCAACACTGAGTCACAGACACTGTATGAGGAGGCCAAAACTGAAAAGTTCTCATCACAGACTGCAGTGGACGTCCATTTCCTGTTGAAAAAGCCCCAACAACACTTATCTCAGACAAAAATAGTCTTTCCAATCAATCATGAATAAGCTCCCAGGACCGCACAAATCAGAGCCGAGCACAGAGAACTGAGGACATCCCTCAGGACCTTTAAATGAGACTGACTGACTGCTCTGCTTAAGCTATAAGTTTGCTGTTAAAACTTTAGCCTCTACCTGACTACTTCAAGATTTGTAATGTCTCTGTCGAAGGAAAAAGACTCGAATGCCAAACCGAGGACCGAGATGAAAGTCGAACATAAACTGTCACTCAAGTTTTTGTAATATGTTGAAGTGTAGGCTACATGTGCTGTGTATGAAACTAAAATATATTAAGTTTTTACAATACATTGTAAAACGGGATTTATGTTACTATTGTTGTGCATAATTTGTTTGTTTATTTTTGTGTGATGTTTAATTATGTTTCCATCATTCCATTGTTTCCATCCAAACAAGTTCCTCTGGAGCCACAGTTCCTTCTGACCTCCTGATCACTTTGCTTTAACAGAACCTTTGACCTCCTCTGCTGAAGCAAAACGTCAGCTTTCTCTGAGCTCTTTTAACACACACACACAAACACACATGGTCTCTGATAGGGACAACCTAACATTTGATGTCCCTCAAGGGACACAAGATGGAATCCAGATGTATGGAAACATGCTGCTTCAAGACTTCCTCCCTCACACACTTCACATCGTCAGAGAAGATATGAAACATGCACAGTAAATCCCTTTGGCTTGTACTTTGCTGGCTTGACTCATCCACATAATGCTAGAATTTGCATAAAAATAGAGGAGGGTCTGCTAACAATTCTGCTTAGATGTTTTTTTTATTATTATTATTATGGACATATGTCTGTCAACTTAATAGGATGGATGGATAAAACCTGTCTGTTTGATTAAATTTGAAATCCCGATGACATGAAGATTGAGTATCAAATATTGTTGTTGCTCACAACTTCTGTATGTGTGCATCTGCTTCTGTTTACACACATGCACAACTTCTTACGGTACGTTAGTTTATGCCTTTGTTCACATCTGTATCAGTACAATCTTCTCCTTCTCTGCCATGCAGGATGGACGAGAACTATAATATTATACCCCATGGAGTGAACTTCCAGGACCCCATCTTCCCGGACACTGCAGAGAACCACCGCATATTTGCCAGCCTCTTCCAGTTTGCCAACTGCACGACTGGGACCCAGGTCCACAGCTACACCCCGGAGTGGGAGGCTCAGGAGGACAGCCGGGTATGTAGCCCATCAGAACCACCAGTATAAACTGGCTCCTAGTGTTGTTTGCCCCCTTTGAAGTGTCTTTCTCACACTCAGTTAGTGATAAGGACATCATTTGATTTAGTTGTTGTGCGCTCATGGTGGCTACACAAATGGTTTGTTGAGAAAGAGTGGCTCGAACCACAATAGCCTAAAGTACTGTGGTGCACACATAAAAGGATTCAATATTACATCCTGTTGTTTTCAAAGGAGCACTATGAAGAAGCTGGCAAGTTAGATACGGTCTTAATGCATGGGAAACCAAATACACATTTCCTGAGGTTTTGGCTATACAAAGAAGTCACTATGTTTAAAGGAAAAATCTACTTAAACAATATTGTTTTTGCCAGCTCTTTGGCAAATGTTTTGTTGTTTAATGGAGTATTTTCGGATGCCCAGAGACGACAGCAACTCTAACACAGAAGTGAGTGAAATCATGTGGAGACATGTCCAGCCCAATTACAGTGGTCTTTGATAGCTCACAAAACACTAAAGTCAGATTTGGGTGTCAGTCCGTCAGGATCAAATACCAAGGGCTGTTTTACGCAGATGTTCAACAGTCACGCAAGTTGAAATTGATCACACAAAAAACATTTGTAGACCAGAACACAAGTGTAGCCACAAGATATGATGAGTATTGTGTAAAGAGGATGACTTGGATCCAGACCAACTCTCTACCTTTTTATATGACCAGTGCAAAAATTTAATGTCCATCCTCTTGGGGATACGGACAAGAGCTTGTGGAAATGCAGAAAATCACTGACTAAACTAAAACCAGGTAAAGTGGATATACCATAAAAGTAAATTAATGACACAATAGCTACATGAATACACAGGACAATGCCGAATTTAAAGGTCACTACTCTTTCTAAACACACAGTAATTTATGCCACCAGGGTTCTCTTAATTAAAAGACCAACAAAAGATGGATTTTGATTATGTTGTAAAGTAAGGTGGTATCATGGGAGTTGTTGTCTTCATTTTTGTTTCTACATAAACAACCGCCATTGCTGATAAAAATCTGAATTGACTTAGACAGAAATCTGGATAACGGATAAAAAGTTTTATTGGTCAAAACAAGTGACATAGCTGAGTGAGGCAGCTGAAGAGCTGCAAAGCCACCAGACTCCACTGAGAAAAATAGTTGCCAGTTTACTGCTGCCTCGCTTGGTTAGTTTGTGCTGTTTTTGTGACTTTGTTGAATCCAGACTGAATACGAAAGTAACACAAGAACATTGTCAGGTTATAACATTGCTGTATGCATTAGCTTGGTATCTGGCATGAACCACTTGTGATTGTAGCATATCATAGTAAGCTGAATCAGTATTGAAATATCAAATCAATAAATTAGGTCTCAAGGGGATTACTGTGTTGCAAAATCAATGCAACTATGCCTTGTGGCAAAAAATGCTGTTTTCATGTAAGTGAGGATAATTCTGTAACATTGTATGATTTACAATGAGGTATCATCCAATGTGTCCTCATCCCAAGACATCACATATTGCAGCTTTGTCTTTGGCCTTTCTTGTCTACATATTACTCACTAAGTATCCTTCTATGTCTGCTTTTTGGTTTGACTCCACATTCAAATGGGAAGCAAACACCTGGCTCCCAGATGAAAGTCCGGGGTTTGCTTCCACTGTTTGTGTCAGGTGTGTGACACTATAATTACTGACAAAGTGGCGGTATTTGCAACTTCGGAATAAGAACGGGCTGTATCATCTGGTGTTTCCTGTATTTCCTTGGAAGTTAGAACCAGAGGAGGTAAAGGGGATATAATGCCATTGACAGGCAACCAATTGAAACACACCTTTTCTTGAATAAAATTGTTGTGAACAATGGTGGCTAATGTAAGTACACAACTCAACAAAATATGTAACATAGGTCTAGTCATTTTCAGACATTTTAATGTGGAAATGTTACAGACTATGTCTTTAATTCCTATGACAAAATGACCTTAAACAATAAGCTTCAGCTCCACTGTTTAATTGATGGAAACTCCTTTTACCTAAACACCACTGGCAATCATTAACACCTGGCGCTACTCGACCCTAAGTTTCCTGCATCTCGTCCCAGAGTCCATGTGTCAGTATATAAATGGTTTCCAGTCATTCACCACTGCTTTATCCCCTTTAATGAATCTAAACCTTTGGCCTAATCCCCCTGATTTAGGTCACTCTTCTTCTGTCTGTTTCCAATCATCTGCTGACTGCTCATAAAAGCAAAAATCCGCCATGGGTACAGAAAATGAAAACATGGTTTGTATTTCCATTAACAGCAAACTTTTGGGTCAGGCCTGTGATTATAATTACAGAGCAGCATTTAGATATCAATGCTGCTTTCTTGCATCATTCTCGTGATTAGATTTCCTCCCTGCAAAATAAAAACAGACTTTTGCTGGTACTGTGTAACCATTGTTTGGACAACTGACCTAAGCCCACAGCAGCAGAACAGATCATGCCATACGCATCACATAATCCAGTGTCAACCCAAGTAAATCAAATGGCATGTAGTCATTTTGAAATTTGAAGCTGAACCGTATTAGCAATAAAAACATTATTATAAGCATTTTCCCACAGTTTTATGGTCCCAGCACTTGTGTAGAAATATGAGCTTGGAAGGGCTAAAAGCACTTTCCTGAACTGATGACTTGATACAAAAGCAAAACTTATTGCTGCTCACAAGATTTGAGTTTCAGTTAACATGGTCTAACTAAAATTGTCTTAAATAATCAAGATGTGAAGACACCTGTCTGTTTGTCCTCAGAAGGGTTTCAAACATGCCTCCTCACTGAGACAAAGCTTCTGTCATGCATTAGTCCTGCATAAAACATAAACTCTTTTGTTTTGTCCTTGTTGCAGTTTAATTTGGATGACATCAGAGTTGATGAAATTCGGCAGGGTACAGATGGTGTGCCACATGGATCCATTTTGGGGCCTGTAAAATGCCGGAGTTTGAAAGATGTGGGTAATTATCAGGCAGGGAGCATCTAATGAAAGTGTGAAGTAACATAGTTGCATCATGGGAAAATCATTGTTTTGGGAGCTCAAACCCTCTGTGTTCTACTGACAAATTAATCTCTATGCCAGTGGTAAGATTTTACAATATATTTGATATCTGATTCTCTTTTAATACACTGCTGTTATTGATATTAGATTATTAGTGCAATTAAAACAAAATGCATGTTGTTTTTGAGATCCAGAGATATCAGCCCACTCTCATTCCCAGGTTGTCAAATACCATCACTTTTTCATGCCCTTCGTCATGTGATATTGCTGCCAAAGGCATCCTTTAACATCTTTATGAGATGCACCAGGCTTTCATCTAACTACAATGTAAATCCATCCACAGCAACACTTGACGTGACGTAGTATAATGAGAGAGAAAGTTCTTGTTGGGTGGGAGGGAGGGAAGGGTGGATGGATCAGTGAAACCAAAAGTCAGTGGAGTCTTAACATAATGTTATGGAAGTTACATATAGTCATTATGCATTGATGTCACTCATGTGACATGTTTACATCATGTTACGTAATTGTTAAGTAACAAATGTACTTAATTTTAACCCAGCAAATCTTTCTAAACCTAACCAAGTAGTTTTGTTGCCTAAAGCTAACTGACTCTTTACTAGGTCCTTTCCCTTGAACACTGACTGGCCAATCATAGTGTAGCATCAGCCAGCTTCAACATGGGTCTGACAACAACACAGCTGTGCTCCAAAGACTCTAATGAAGTCATTTCAGATTCCCCTTAATGACAGGCTTTTGTAGATTGTGATAGATTAAACAGTGTGCCTGGGGCACGTGTAATAATGATACTCGTCACCTGAAGAGGTTGGAAGTAGATACACATTTCCTCCTCGTTCCAAAACCAATATCAAGCCCTGAAAGGTGTAGGGTTAACTAGCCAGCTAGCTACTGAAGGTATAGTCTACTGAATGTGAACACATGCTACTTTTGCTTTTTAATGATTAACACTGAATAAATACCTACCCTGCTGTACAGGGACCAATGAAGGGAAACAGGAAAGCTTTGTGGATATTCAAACAGCTGCATGTCATCACAGTGTGTGTGCTGATGAACGTTGTTTAGCTTTTCAGCAGTAGTTAGGCTTTAGCTTCTAACTATTGTCTTTTCAACTTGTTTTTGCTGCTGAGTGAGGTTGACACCTGAATATATCCTTAAGACACATATTAAAGACCCCTCTGTCTGCTTCTCTCTGGACTCGCTTTTTAGTTTTTCCAAAAATTTTAAGTGCAGTTAGTTACAGTGTGGACTCGATGATAGCTCCAGCAGCTTGACGGACCATCACAAAGGGGCAAAGCTTAGTGAAGAGTCAGTTACAACTGTTTCACAACATTAATCACATCTTACAAAAACGGGTTGGATGGCAATAACTTGAATATCTCCTTTAACTCTCTTTGTCTCCTTGAGAGTCAACAAATATTTTGGCATCTGGCTTGATAGCAAATAGGGCTGGGCAATATTGATATGATATTGATATCGTGATATGAGACAAGATATCATCTTAGATTTTGAATATCATAATATCTTAAGTGTTGTGTTTTTAAAGGCTTCATTACAGTAAAGTGATGTAATTTAGTGAAGTTACCAGACTGTTTGAGCTATTCTATTATTTGCCTTTACCCACTGAGTCATTATATCCACATTACTGATGATTATTTATCAAAAATCTCATTGCCTGAATATTTTGTGAAAGCACCAATAGTCAACCCTACAATACCATCACAATATCGATATCGAGGTATTTGGTCAAAAATATCATGATATTTGGTTTTCTCCATATCGTCCAGCCCGACAAATTCAAAGTTTAAATATCACAAAGAAAATCTTGTTGCTAAACTGTGACAGAAGCTTGACCTTTTGTACAGAAACAAAGCAAGTCACTGTAGGAAGCATTATGAAGAGTTGATTTATAGATACGTGACTGTGCCCATTCATAAGCCCTTAGACTCTTAAAACTCTCACTCTAAAGTTTATGACTGAAGGTCGTTTAAATACTCACTGTTCAATTTTTTATGATAAATGAGATCAATTTGCCCTCCCTTATTCAGAGACGTAATAACCACTGGTCTATATTTATCTACAAAGCCCTTGTTGGAAAATCGCCACATCATATCTCTTTGCTGCTCTGGAACTCTGGCCTATATTTAACCTGCCTGGATGATTGGTTAATGCTTATGAAACTATATATCAGATCTAATGTAGGAAAGACTGCTTTTCCTCTTAGTGCAGTGGTCTACTTGTATTACTGCTTTAATTGCATCTTCGTTATCATCCATTATTCTGTCATTGTTCGGACTCTGTTGTCGTTATTCTTCTTTTTCTCAATGTGACCGTAATTAGCTTCTTTATCAAGCTCAGCTCCAGACATGTGGTACAAGAAAGTGTTCGTTAGTACTATTACATTGTATGGGTGGGGTATTAATACAGCTGTACCATTCTTCTCTCCAGGTTTTAATGTTACATTGATAAAACACTAACGCTTATCACTACCAAAATAACTCTTCTACCCAGAGGCAGCTTTATATTGTATGCCTGGGTCTCAGTCTCGGCTCCAGACCTTTAAGGCCAATTACCTAAGTATTTGTCCACACTGCAACTTAGCCTAAAACAATACAGTAAACTTGGACACAGGAACCAACTGAAGGTGTCTTGGGATTGAGTGATAGTCATACCTGGGTGCACAGAGCGGCGATGTGTCATTTTACACCCTCTGCTTTACATAACTTGATTGTTCTGCTCCTGAACTTCATCTTTTACATTATAAAGTTTCAAATCCCTCATGAGACATAAGTAAGAGCACATGGGAAAAATCCACAGCTAATATTACAGCGAGTAATACACTAACCAGTGACGCTGGCCAGCAGCCAGCAGCACATTTTTAACATTTCCTCAAAACCCTCAGCGGTTGTTATCTGATGGCAGGAATATACATCAGTGTTTCACGCTGGCCCCATGTGGAAGCATTAGGATCTGTGGAGGAAATCCACACTCAGGCAGACAGGCATGCAGTCAGAGGCAGCTGGAGCTCATTTTTCCACCTATAGGAAAAGGTGCGGGCCTTTGGACCGGCTGTCGCAGGTTCGCAGGCATGTTGGGTTTCATCTCGCAGTGGAGTCTTGCTGAAACAGACAGAGCATGTTGTGTAATAATTTTACCTCAGAGTTATCTTGGTACCTACCTGGAGCAATGTGTGTTGTCTGTTGGCTGATATATAAATGGGCTGGTACATAAAGATACAGGCATACAGGTCAGGGTTACTCTTAAAGGAATACTTCACCTCCAAATGATCATTTGTATACTATTACTCACCATGTGTTACGTTGAATGCACAAAATTAACTTGTCTTGTCTTTCTCTGGTGAATGAAGAATCCATAAAGCAGACAAACAGTAATTTTACATCACTGAACACGGGAGCTGCTGTTCTACCACTGCCTCAATTATTGTGTGACTTTGGAGTTTTAAAGGGTTTGTTCGGATTCACCAAAGTCATACAATAACACAAACAAGAGACTGATCATGACAGTGGTAGACCAACTTTTCCCATGTTCAACGAGACTAAAATAACTCTTTTTGTCTATGGAGTCTGTTCAGTTCCCCGTTGGAAAGGGCTGTCAGTTTAGGAAGTACTGAGCATTCAGCTGGACAAGGAGACTTGGATTATAGTGCAATTTTGTGAGTTTGAAATATTGATTTTTTTATATAGCTTTGTTGTTGTTAAATGTGGATCCATCTCAAAGGCAAAGCTTCAGTTCATCAAGAATGTCTTCCTTTTTTTGATTCTCCATTGACAATGGAGGCCTGGGAGAGAAATAAAGTTTTCTTCGCAACTTTAACATAATACAGTGTGAGTAATTGATATGCAAATGGTCATTTGGGGAGGTGAAGTGTTCCGTTAGGATTTATTCCCATGAATTATTCCACAGCATGAAATGTATAATCTAAAAAATACTTAATAGTTAACGTCTTAACTTTTTCCTCCTCCTGTTTCTTTCTTTTTAGGCTACAAAGCAGCCCAAAAACTGACACTTTTTTGACTCTGTCATACACAAGCAGTGGAGTATGCTGAAAGACTTACGAACTGTTGGCACTGGTTGTCACCCCTAAAGGGCGTGCCAGAAGTGTTCTCTCATATGACTTATTCAAAGAAAATCCAGTATCAAAAACAGCAGATCTGTCAGATGCTACATCATAAATGTAAAACATACTAAATCTGACACCAGTATTTAGTATGAGCCACGCTGGGATAAAACTCCAGATAGGATTTCGGTCAAAAGGCAGAGCAAGATGAAAAGGTCTCTTGGGAACAATGCTGGCCTTCTTTGAGCAAACAACCTGAAAATAATTGATCAATTATATGACAGTTAAGTGTTTGAATCGGTCACAAGCTAATTGTGGTTGCCAATTAAAATACTCTGAACGCTTTCCCTGATATTTCCAATGTATTTACTGTGAAAAAAATGGAATAAACAATCAATTCTTTTCTCTTTACAGTTGTTGTGCTCTGCGGTGCAGAAGGCCCTTTTTGAGGAGGAGGAGAGGGCCTGGGTTCTCTCCCAGAAGGTGCGCTCCTTGGAGAAAGCCAACGACCACCTGAGGGAAAAAGTGAAGACCATGAAACGTCTGCTGCGCCAGGCCCAACGCGAAACAACGAAAGAGCAGCAGACCCTCAACCACAAACAGCTCTACGAGTCAAAGGCGCCCCAAGCTCACCCCGATCAGGACACGACTCAGGATCAGAGGAAGCAGCCGCTAAAAAAGGTCCTGTCCAGGACACTAAAAAACTAGAGTGGAGATCAAATTAGGGTAACACGGTGGACTTTAACTTTTACTTCATTGCATTCTCCATGTCTTCAACTTCATTAATAAGCTTATTTTAAAACCAAATTTGGCCCTTTTGTTGGTCCAGTTTAATCTTAATGGTAAAATTGACCTGTGCCATTGAGACTGTCACCTACAAAGAGACCATTCATGCTATTTACACCCCTATCCCTATACTTCTAAGTACTGTGTGTGTGTGTGTGTGTGTGTGTGTGTGTGTGTGTGTGTGTGTATGTTGGGAGGGCAGGGCTCACTTGACCTACTTTGTGTCCCCAGATGAACTAAAGTGAAGGATTAACGCCCTCTGAGATAAAGGATTCAAATGGTTTCACAGGAGTAAAAGATCTTTGTCTAAATCTCCTCAACTCTTATTTCACCCCATTAATCCAATATGATTGTTCTCTCCGAATAACTGTGGGTTAACATCCCAACTTTTACTTTTGTCTTTTATTAGTTTAATTCAGTGGCAGCACAAACATTTTCCAAACATCAGACAGAGCTCTCAGCGGGCGGATGCACTGTTGAACAATATGTGGACAATGTCAAAGCATTAAAAAAAATGGATTATCTTGTTTCTTCCTGTGCTGGACACATTATGCATTGTATAGATATTAGACATTGTTTCTTACTTCAGAAATGCTATCATCAAAATCAATCTGTCTTTTGGGCCTCGGCTCTTGGACGGGGTGATGAACATGTCTTGTCTTTTTTGTAATGTCCTGACTGTGTATATGAGCGCATAGTTACAGAGGAGCAGCTGTGCCAAAGTTTAAAAAGCCGCAAGGCCTAACATTACGTCATCATTCTTTTCTACCGCTGCCTGCTTTTCATTTACTTGCATCTATTTATACCAAAGAAACTATCCTAAAGTGTATGATTCTTTAAATTCAGTGAATTGTTTCCCAAGAGTGCCTTTTCCCCCCAAAGCTCTTCCTTTATGCAAGTCTGTTCATACACGTTGCACTGAATGAAAGTGTAAGTTTTTTATTTGAAAACAGGGTGCTGAGCACTCATTAAGGAATACTTCACCAACAAAACTATCATTGGTATATCAGTTACTCACTTTTACTTTGAATTCATAAAGAAAACTCACATGCCTCCAGGGTCAATAAAGAATCCAAAAACGGAGAACGTTTTTAATGAACTGAAGTCAACAGGGGCCGTGTTTAACAGCAAAGCTATATCCATCCATCCATTTTCATTCGCTTATCCGGGGCAGGGTTGCGGGGGCAGTAAGCCAAGCAAAGCACCCCAGACGTCCCTCTTCCCAGCAACATTTTCCAGGTCTTCCTGGGGGACCCGAGGCATTCCCAGGCCAGATGCGATATGTAATCCTTTCAGCGTGTTCTGGGTCTGCTTCCCACCAGTGGGACGTGCCCGGAACACCTCTAACTGGAGGCGCCCAGGAGGCATCCTGATCCTGACACAAAGGAGCAGCGGCTCTGCTCCGAGCTCTGCCCAGATGTCAGAGTTCCTTACCCCATCTCTAAGGCTGAGCCCAGCCACTCCACAAAGGAAACTCATCTCGGCCACTTGAATCCTCTGTCTCATTCTTTCGGTCACTACCCAAGCTCATGACCATAGGTGAGTTTGGGGATATAGATGGACCAGTAAATCAAAAGCTTTGCCTTCTGGCTCAGCTTCCTCTTCACCACAATCATCCGGAGCAGCACCCGCATCACTGCAGAACTATATCAACACATCAAACTCTCACACAACTCATGTAGTATAATCCAAGTCTCATTTATCTAGTTGTATGCTCAATACTTCCCAGACACATGCAGTTTCACTTAAGCCATATTTAAAACACTTGCACACAAGCACCTGGGCAAGTGTGCGTGTGTTTAAACTGCTGGTGAATTCAGTTGAGTTTCCCAGGCGTGCCCTGCGTGAGACTGTTTATGCCTAAGTGTTTTTATAAACTAACATCTTACTTAAAATGCACGTGTTTGGGAAGAACTGAGCAAACAACTGGATAAAAGAGACTTGGATTATACTGCATGAGTTGTGTGAAAGTTTGTAAACAGATGATCTGATATTCGCTGTTGTTGCGGCCTCCTATGACTCCAATTCAACAAGAATTTTCTCAGTTTTTGGATTGTTCACCGTTAAAGGCTTCAGGAAAATCTACGAATTTTTCATAAATTGAACGCAACATAGGGTGAGTAACTGATATACAAATAGCCTTTTTGTGGGTGAAGTATTCCTTTAAGTCCAGCCAGTGAGCCTGGCGAGGTACAGGATTGGCTTTTTCTGTGTCAGAAATGAAAATTCTGCATTTATTGTACTTTCTTCATTTGCTTTTATTATTATTTTTGCTTTCTCTAAACTATAAACACATGGTTTGCTTTGCCAATAGCATAATCATTTGTGTAACAGTTATTGTAGCTTTTTATAAATAAATGAACTTTTACAAAACGTCCTATGTGGTTGTTTTCAGTTGGTGCCATCTGTATTACACGCAGTGTACATGTACTGTATGTTACATTTTGGGTGGAATTTGAAAGGACTATATTGAACTATTTCAATATAAACAGTAATACATCCCCATAACATCTAAATCTAGCTTTTAACATGAATCCAGAAATACAAAAACAATATTGGGTAAAGTTGTAAAAGTAGCTTCCTGTGCACAATCACAGTCTGTACAGAGGGAACAGGGATGAAACTCAGTTGTAGTAGCAGTCTGGAAATGCAGACGGTAGTCTGGGTGCATTTAAGACTTCTGTTTTTATGCTTTTATCTCTTGCCTCATTGACGTATCCAGGCCTGTCCATTTGGATACAGTTTCATGTAACATTTGAACCAGTTTCATGGTATGACTACAAAGAACAGTGTAACATTATTTTCTCTTTTCCTCTGCACTATATTTTAAAATAAATGTGTCTGGCCAGACAAAGTAATGAATTCAAGTAAAAGTTTCTAACCTCAATTGTAACATTTCTTGTTTTCCATGTATTCAAGTCAGAAATGATAAATGCTTTTTGGCAGGCGGAAGATGTTTGGTGTGATTCGGTGTTAATAAATCAAAAGTTTTCAAAGAACCTCAAAAGCAACATAAATCCTAACGATGAACTGGCCTTGTTTTGACCTCTTCTTCTAAAGCTTTTGTCCAGTTTTACATCCGGCGCACTTTAAGAGAGAACACAGGACCATTTGAGACGCGAAATCATCTTGGCAGATGAAATTTTCAACACAATTTCCAGGAGAGCTGAACCAAATTTCTTCCATATGGTGGTGTCGCATAAAGAGCGAGGGAATGAGAGGCAGGGGTTTGCATGGCGAGGGGAGAAACAAAAAAAAGGGGACACATTTCAAACATGCTTTATATCAGGGACTCTCTCGCAGGATAGTTCTGCAGTAAAGCTGGATACGAAACAGGCATTTACAAGCTTTCTTCCCGCGCATCGTTTGACCTCTCAGGCAAAATGAGAAAGTGTTGCAAAGCACAGCTTCTCGTCTTGTCTCCTCGTTAGCTCTTTCTTCTCCCCGTGAAACCTTCGCATCAGACAACCTTGCCTGCAGCCAACTGTCAAAATCCCATGGACCCGGGCCAAAGATGATATACACACACTGCTTTCTCAACATAAACCACCGTGCACAGCCAAGCTGCAAAACAGATGTCAGGCAATACGACGGCACAGTGGTGGTCCCTTCCAGAGGACCTGGCTATCTGTGGACATGGTTTATTTATCTAGCCTTGTTTTATTTTTTCAAATGCTGTTACTTTCTCTGGCTGCTCTGGGTTTTTTTTTCTTCTATTGATAATCCCAGAGCATCCGATTGGTTAATACAGTATATCTTTTTCCTTTTTTACCCCCCTTCTTCCCTTTCTGTTCATGTTTTCTTAAGCAGCTACACTTTAGTCTTTCACTCTGTCTGTCATTCATCGCTCCACATGAAGAAATCCACCAGAGAGGTTTCTCACTTTGAGCTCTTTAACCTGCCTTTGGCTCCATTGTTTCTGTAGGTAATTCTGCACTTGGAGAGCCAGTGTTTCTTTTTAAGAGAAGAAGACCGACTCTTTGTGTTTTCAATTAGTCACCCCTGCTCCATTAAAAAAGAAAGAAAAAAAAAGACTCTAGAGTCGTGCAAGTGGCTCTGTGTGGCTGTGCTTCAGCTAAATGTTAATGATTCTTCTGTCTTTCTTTCTTCCAGTTATTAATGTTTACACCTCAGTAACTTTGTCTTTGAAGGTTAAAATGTGCTTTATGTAATTCATTTGTTTCAGAGGGGCTTTATGCTCAGAGCATATGCACTGTCTGGACGCACTTCTCATCATGGAGGTGGCTGATACAGCAGCTAGCAGCTAAAAGTGCTAACTCCATAAACAGCACTAAACTATGGCAACAGCGCTGACAGAGCTAATAGTGCTAATTGGAGGAAACCACAGGGTGGGTGCTATGCTTCTGCGACAACGCCATTCCAATAGTTGCAGTAACTGCTGCATGAGCACTGTGCAAAGCCGCCAGTGGGATACACATATGCCACTAACAAGCACACGCAGCTGAATCTTCTTACCACAACAAAGAATGCAGAAGCTCAGATTTCAACACACAGAGGTAGCATGACTTTATTCTCTGCTCAGGACACCATTGCTCTTCTTCTGTACGTAGTAGTTTGCTACTATATTATATGAATCCTCTAAAAGTTGCACACAGAATCTTTAATGAGGGCTACCAGTTGCCACAAATTCTTCTATTGTGCTGTTGTGACTTTTTAAACTTGAATATAGCTTCATTAGAAATCTCTGGGGTGCACTAACTTGCTTAACCCCTTGACAAAAGTCTTTTTTTAACCCTAAAATTCCATCAACTTACTCATGAATGTTGATTAAATGAATGTATTTTTATGGATGTACATCTAATAAACAACTTGTCTGTTGGTGCCTCCTTCATCACACGACTTCAGGGTACACAACTGTTACACCCATGCTAATATCCTAAGTTAGCCTATTAGCATGCTAGCATTTGATAATTAGCAATAAACAAAGTGTAACATGGCAGATGATGGTAGATGTTTGGTTGGTTAAGATACTTTTTATTAAGCCATGTAGTGCTCACATGTAATTTGTAATATGGTATTAGGTCGTAATCATTAGTTGCTGTCCATGTAGAGTGACCTACATTAGTAAGAAAAGATATTTATTAGCATTAATCACGAAAGCAAGTCAGGCAGAGCAATATTTTAGTGATTTTAGTGAATATACTGGTGCAGAAACAGCAATTATCATGTTGTTTAAATGCTTTGAGCAATAAAATACAACACATCTTCTTTGTAGTGTCCATGTTGTCCTCCACATTAAGACGTAAAGCTCATGAACGCACCGAAGTTGGAGGAAAGACCTCCCAACTCAGGAAACAGGACCATCCAAGGAGCCCATGAATGCAACATAATACTTACTGAGATATCTGGACCAAAGTGATGGATAAAAAATGGAAATCTGCATGTAATAACACCAAAATCTGCAAGTCATATCAAGCATTATATGTCAGTGATACCCTTCCTCTCACTTAGTTTGCACCTTCCTCACAACTCTGTCATTCAGTCGTCTGCTTCAAAAGTGAACATTACCCAGCACCTCTGTGAACACGGCTCCGATGAGAGTGGAAACGCTTCCTCATCATTTTTTCACACATGACCAGCCGTACTCTGGCGAGGAGGAGGTGATTTTTCATTGTTGCCTGTCCATGTCTGTTTCAATAAGAATGACTGATGTGTGTGTTTGCCCTCAGAGACCTCTGCTGTTCCAGTCAAACTAAAATCACAATACCATGCTTTTAGCTTCAGCCTCGTACTGTAAACTCAATCTTGAGACCCCAGAGAGGGAAATGCAGATTTCATGGAGACAAAAATAGTGACCTCAGTATTTTACTTTAAGGCTACAATAATGACCATAACACCGGATTCAATTCCACAGCCCAGTAATGGCATGCAAAAGGGCCATGGTTCACACTTGAGAATTTGGATTTCACTGTTGTTTTTTCACTCTGGGAAATCATTTCTCATGTCCATAGTTTCTGACTGAAGAGTGACACACAAGTGACACACAAACTTAATTTCAGGCTGGAAATCGCCTCGGGAGAACTAAATGTGTTTGCATTTGATTGAGTTCTTCTGTCATCAAGGTAAACTGCTAGTTTCCACCATCACAGACAGCCTACTTCAGCCTGCGTCCTCCGCTTCCCCTCCCCCTTCCTTTCTTCCTTCACATGTAATTATTCCATTCTTCATCTGGCTTGCTGACGAAGTCAACAAGACAAGCAGGAGGTATTTGACTTCATGTGTTTGTTGTTAGCGCTGCCAAGCA